GGCAAATTTACATATACAATTTTTGTGATTTTTGGGACAGCAACTGCCATTTGCTTCAGGCCAACACCAGCACGTTTTGTAGAGTCACTGTACTCCTGACATACCTGTAGAAACGAGCTTCTGAACATAGCCACAAAAACCCGGATCTACAGGGTATACGAGAAGCAAATGCCAAATCTGGAAACCGAGATTGTAGACGCATCTTTTGAGGGTCATGGCGAGTCAAGTACATATTTAAACAACAAAGAACAAATTCGCGTTACCACTGCAATGCCGCAGTCTTCGTTACACGCTCTTGTTCATCTAATTGACGAGGACTCGATCCCGACCGACCCTGCAAGGCAAGACTGCCGTCATTACTTGGTAGAGTCGAGCTGAACTGCACCGGGCACGTCGGGTGGACGGATGGATGGATAAGCAGTGGAGGAGGGCGAGGTGACGGAAGGAACCGGTGGCAGCAGCGAGCAGTTTTTGTGCAAAGGCTGATGCTGCGCGGTTCGGGTGCAACGCGACGTCACTGTGATTTATGACCACGACGACGGGTGGGAAGTTGGCTGGTGGCTGAACGAACCGACCGAGCTTTCATCGATAGACGCGGGCACCTGAAATTCATGAGAAAAAGTAATTTTGTAGTATCTTGCCGCAACACCGCAGCCACCTTTTACCTTAACAGACGGTTTGAGTGAGACGCCGAGGCCGTGCCGTCGTGACTGGCATCCCTGACTGCAGTTCGGAGGGACACCGATGACTGACCATCAAAATACCACGTACAAACAAGAAGATTTCGGCCCATCGTCATTCGTCGTCGTCGTCGTCATCGCCGCCATCGTTTCATGTTCAGCGCCGTCGCTGCCTCGGGCAACTGTGCGCTCCGGTGACAGCGGAACATGTAGGCAAGGCGAATTCGCCTTGGCCGACGACGACGACGACGATGGCCTCAGTCGAGACGGGGACACGTCGACCGACGGACGGACGATTGATGGTCGCCGGCATGCGCATCCTCCATCAGTCATCCCCGGCGAACCACAAAGCGCGCCGCCGCAGCACCATTCACTCAACTTGACTGTCAGATGAGAAACAGCGCTACTCTTTTGATGTATTGTTGTAACAGCGGCGGCAACGCAACCTTTCTTCTACCTCTGTTCCGTCTGCTGCTGCTGCTGCCGTTCGTTCGCTAGCAAGGGCGTGGACGAACAGCCACATGCAGACGGTACCACATGCAACAACTGCCTCGACATGTTAGCCGATTATCCCAACGTCCAACCGACTGTCACCATCGCCATCCACCTTCGACACTAACCACGCAAGCGATGCGCACGGCCGCCTACAGTACGGCGCCGCCACGCTATCCGGTGCAGATATCGCATCGCTGCCGTCTCTCGTCACGAACGTTCGACCATCCTGCGCATCGTCAAAACAAAAATTACTTTGTACACAAAGAAGTTTTTACCGAGCGCCCGTCTACTGGCCAAAATCGCCACCATTGTGCTGCGCAAATATTTGCCTTTCTGCAGCTGTTATCGCACTACACAGGGTTCGATCGCTGTGCCGATATTTTTGCCGTTCCACGACGACTATCAGTTACGGCTGACTCCTGAATTCAGAACCCCTGAATTACCTGCAAATCACCCATAAATACTGTAGTAATGGGTGCTTGCGGACGACAGGTCGGCACCGTCGCCACAAGTCCGATGGCCGTCTTTCGTCGGCACTTTGTTGCACCTGGCGTTTGAACGGTGCGGAAAAGAGGAGGCAAAGAGACAAGGCAGCGAACGAACTAACGAACGAACGGCGAGCAACGACCGCGGAAGCACAAACACTTTCTTCGCGGCTGTCGGCCCGAGCGCGGCACACATTCGGCATCGGTTGTCATAGATGATTGGTTGATCAAAGGTCACGTGAGCAGTTGGCATACGGCGATTGGTGGACTCTTACGAGAATGCTGCCGCTGCCGACGCGGAAT